AGTGAAGCCATCTGGATCTGGAATTGTCTTTGTTAGGAAGGTTTTAAAATATGCATTCAATTTCTGTAAGGGATATAATAATATATAATTTTCCTGCTGCTTCATGAGTTTGTTTTGATAGGTTGTGTTTCCCTAGGAATTTGTCTATATCATCTGATTTTCAAATTTATTTTCAGAAAGTATGAAGGTGTCTTTTTAATGGAGATTTTTTAAAAAAACATTCACAAAATTAACAGAAGTTGGAAAAATATTAGAGTCCCTTTTACCCCCTTGAACTATTTGACAATAAGTGGCCCACTGACCAGCTGCTTTATCACCCCCAAGTACTTTAGTGTATATTTTCTACAAACAAGAGTATTCTCCTAAATACCCACTATACAACCATCAAAATTAAGTTACTAACATTGATATATTATTATATCTAATCCTCAGAACCCATTCGTGGTCAACAGCGCTCCAAATAATGTCCATTATAGCAAAAGGGTCTTGTTCAAAATCATGCTTCGCATTTAGTTGTCACGCCTCCTTAGTCTCCTTCATCTAGAACAGTTCCTCAGTCATTGGTTCCTGAAGATGCAGGCATTTCCTTTTTAGAATATCTAAGTTTGTCTGACGTTTTTCACGGTTAGATTCGGGTTGTGCATCCTGAGCTGGAATGCCAACAGAGTGGTGCTGTATTCCTCTCACTGCTTCTTATGAGGTGATGCACAATTTTGATTTGTCCCATTACTCATAATGCCCACTTTGATCTCTCTGTTAGGGAGGTGTATCTACGAGGCTTCTCACTGTAAAGTTGTCTCGTTAATTAATAAGTACTTTGTCAGAAGGTACTTTGTAACTATGTCCATAACCTGTTCCTTAAAGTTCTTTCAAATATTTATATCTAGATGGACTCATGGCATTCCTCCTTCCCTCAATGTGTTGTAAATAGTTACTAAAATGATTTATTTTGAAGCTCAGAGTGTTAGTGGGATTTGGTCAGTGCTAACCCCTTCCAGCTGGCTTCTGTGTCCTGTGAAAGTGTCCCCATCATTCTTCGAGTATGTCCCTACTCTAGACAATAAGCTTTTCTAAGTTTGTCTCATGCTTTCCCTTTCCCATCCCTGGAATTAGCCATTTCTTCATGGAGTTCTGGTTCCTTTTAGTGAAGAATAGATTTAGAAGCCAAGATCTGGGCTCTAGGTATGCTCACTGGTTGAAATATTATTCTGAAATTCCCCCAGTGGACGGGAAGAAGGTTCGCCACGGACGGGGGCAGCCTTGTTCTTAAAATCCTCCCAGGGTACTCTGAAGTGTGTGTATGTGTATACATACAAATTATATGAATATTTACACTATATTTGCTTCTACCTATTATTTAAAAGCTGAGTTCACACTGATATCTTCAATTCTAATTCAACATGATGGAGTTTGTTCTAGTTTTTTCTCCCTTTCCACATTTGTAACTCCCTTCTCTAATAATGGAAGCCAGAGACCTGGCTTTCATTCACCTTTCTGTACATATTTTTGGTTAATTCCCCTCTCTCTGCATGCATGTCCCCTCACCTCATTTGGGTTCTGATATCCCATGCAGGCTTTCCCACTTGTGCGTGTCCTTGGGGCATGTCCTCGGGACCCTGGGAGTGTCATGACACCCAGGCCGGTTTGCCCCATGGGATGTTCTCATCACTCCACCTAAGCTCTAACTTCCTGTTTGGGGTCTGACACCAGGCTCCAGGCTTCCCCCTTCTCCTCGCACAGCTGCCCTCCTCACCCCGCCTGGGTCCTCACACCACAATCCAGGCCGCCATCACACAAGGACACACCCCCATCCCCACTTCGCTCTGGTTTTCCCTCGTCAGGCCACCTGTCTGCGTGGATGCCTGCCTCCTTCACCAGGTACGTACGCCTGTGTAGATGCCTCTTCCTGGGCTTTGACAAATACCCAGTCTCTTCTCCAGGGTTCTGGTCCTATTGGGCAGTGACTCCACTCACAGGGTTGCTCCCTTTGCTCAGTGTAGGCACACTCCTCCCCCTGGTGGAGCTTGTTGCCCAGGCTGACTGCCCCCCTCCGTGGGGAACCTTCTTCCCCTGCTGAGGTCTGCTTCTGGGCTGCCTCACCCAGCCTGGGCTCCACATGCTGTGCAGGGCTACCTATGTGTGCACCTCCTCCGTATCCTATTTGACCTTTGACACGGCATTTGAAATGATGTCCTGTTTTATTCTAGATATTAATATTAGTAATTTATGCCATCTCTTTCCCTTCCTGACTAGTCTCTTCCAGTTTATCAGTGTTCTCAAATAATTCTTTTGTGTTTTGCTGATGTTTTCTATTTGACTTCTGCTGGATATTACTTCATTTTTTCTACTTTCTTTTGTGACTTCTGTGATCCATGGCTTATTTAACAGTATGTTTTAATTTCTAGTTATTTTTGTTCAGTCTCTTCCAGTAGTTTATCAGTTTTATGAGTGTTCTCAAAGAATTCTTTTGTGGTTTGCTGATGTTTTCTATTTGACTTCTGTGATCCATGGGTTATTTAACAGTATGTTTTAATTTCTAGTTATTTTTGTCTACATTTCTATAGATTTTTAAAGTTCTATTTCTGATTTTAGTTTAATTCTACTGTGGTCAGAAAACATCCTGTTTATGTTCCAGTTCTGTGAAATGTGTTGAGCCTTAATTTATTACCCACTGTCTATAATCAACTTGGGCAAGTTTCCAGAGACACTTGCAAAGTGAATTCTCCAGGTGCTGGATGGCCACCATCTCCTAGAGCTGCATTTAAGGGCCCGCAGGTCACCGTGGACATGCATGCAGTATTTTTCTCGAGGGTTGGAGGATACCTTGTCTTGTTTCGTAGGTGCTGTACAATCCATAGGTAGCAAATTAAAATGCTTAACATGTACCCAAGCATGAACCCTTATATGGATATGTTGTTTCCACAAAACAGTGCATGAAATTAGGTATGAAACAAGGGATAAAGTAATATAGGGCAGCATCATTTTGGTGTTTGATCGTCCTACCAGGAATTTCTTAAGGTTGGATGTTTACAGTGTGATATAACAACTATAATGTACATTATGTTATTTTGTCAAACAGTTGTTTTAAAGTTTTCCAATATCAATTAAGTTTAAGCCAACTCTTAGTTATTATATTATTAGAGGCTTGATGCACAAAATTCATGCAAGGGCCTTGGCCCCCACCCGCTGCGACTTTGTCTGGAAGGATGTCTGGTCTAATTAGCATATTACCCTTTTATTATTCTAGATCAGCGATGGCGAACCTTTTGAGCTCGGCGTGTCAGCATTTTGAAAAACCCTAATTTACCTCTGGTGCCGTGTCACATATAGAAATTTTTTGATATTTGCAACCATAGTAAAACAAAAATCAACCAAAAAAATGAGTGCGCATGTCACCTCTGACACACGTGTCATAGGTTCGCCATCACTGTTCTAGATCCTGTGTGCACAATATGATGTGGTTGTCTATTTGAGAAAAAAAGGCATTACTGCAAAAGTTTTAAAAAAGAAGAAATCTTCATAACTATTTTTTTTAATGAAATTCCTATTCCACATACATTTGGGCATTTTTTTACTTGAAAAGTAAAGAGTAAAGGGAGGTATTATTTTCAAAACATTGAGGATTTTTATAATAATTTATAATTATATATATTTATACATTCCAATATATGTAGTATGTCATTTGTATATTCTAAAACAATTTGCATATTCCAATTCACAGCTTTAAAATCGTTTCTCTCAAATCCAGAAACAGTGGTGAGGTCTGCCCATGGAGCCTACTTAGCATCTTTAAATACCACTGGCCCTCTTTTGGGTAACTTGCCTGGAGCGCAGGTACACTGCATCTGAACAAGAGCCAGGTGACGGAGCTCAGCTGTAGACATACCCTGGTTGGCAGGCAGCTAGAGAGCTACCCGCTATAAGCATAAATAAACCAAAGGAAGTAATGTGTAACATTATATCACCAGACAGACGTTATGATGTGCTGCTCACAACAAAAGCAAGTTCAGAGGATTATTTTGGTGCAACAGCTAGTGAGGAAAAAAGACTAGTACAAACTACCTTTCTTCAGGGTCCCTTTCGAGAAGGAGATGCATAGTCCATTAGAAGAAAAACTGTGAGCAGTATTTAAATGTAATACCTGATGTTGCATTCAGGGTTTATCTACACAGACTTAGCTGTTCTGCAATTGTAAACCGAACCCTGTTTCCTTACGCGCGCCCCCCCGCCGCCCCCGCTCCCACGTCTATCCTTGTTCACAGGCATGTCTTTAGCCATTGAGATACACCGTGGAGGTAAAAACTCAAAGGACCATTTAGAGTGAAGGAAAGCGCACATTAACTGCTGGAGGCAGAGTTACCTGCTGAGGACGAGATGGAGCCGAGTTAGATGGAGCCCAGGCTGCGTGGGGCAGGGGCTGGCCTCCGATGATGACGATGGAGATGGAATGGGAGGGAATGCGGCCTTCATTCCGCCTTTGCTGATCGATTAGGGCCTTGACTCCCAGGGCACCTCGTGTCAGGATTCGGATCTAGGGTAGACGTGGAAGAATAGTTTCTGATGCTGTTGAACTGAATGCTAGTTTAATAAGTTCATCTCAGTCATTGAAGAAAACAAATGAAGTTTTTATGTGTGTTTTACCTACAATATTTTTACCTACGGTGACTAGAGAGAACACCGATCATAAGGAAGTCTGATGCTTCAGGTTTGTTCTGAAAGAAAGAACTAGGTAAGCTATTTCACGAATATTTATCACTCCCACTTTTATGCTATATAACTGGCTCTCTCTAGTATTTGAGAGTATATTTTATTTTTCCCTGATATCACTGTGCAGGAGGAGAGAGTGGGAAATCCGATGAGCTTATTTCTGCACCTGAACTTTAGTGAAGCATACATGTTTCAATCCAGTTTTTTTTTTGTAAGTTATTTGCAATGATTGTGGACTGTGCTGCATGTTGAGGCTACTTGGAAACAGTGACCAGACTCTTACTCCTTCTCAGGAAGCTGCATTCAGAGAATGAGAAGAACACCCCCACTGGACGAACTGCAGCCCCCGCCATATCAGGATGACAGCGGGTCTCCCCACCTGTCATGTACACCCTCAGAAATCGGGGACAGTAAATGTGAATTTTCCCACTGCAGCAACAGCCCAAGACGCTCCTATAACAAGTGCCCGAGTGAAGGAAGCACCGGTCACGAAATAGAAAGTTTTCATCATAAAGGATATGAAGAAGATGTTCCGAGTGACAGCACTGCCGTCCTGAGCCCCGAAGTAAGTAAAAGCACATAGAATTTTCTAAGTGAATGTTACTTGGAAGACTGATAATCCTGCGCTTCTCCTCTTGGTAAGAAGAAAGTTTTAGCACTTTGTGGCTTATTGTACCAGTTTCTATCCTCCATCTAATCTTTAACCAGCAGACTTAACAGAGGTGTCTCAACCATTCTGCAGCCGCCGCCCCCCCCCAAAGGAAGATGGAGAGCTGAAAATGAGAGCAATACACAAAATACTGAAAAATTAGCTTCCCCCAAGTTTCAACCTCAAGATAGATTTTTTAAAAAACATTCTGGAAGTATTTGTTTCATAATGAGTGAGGTTTCTATTTATGTTTGTCTCTTTTAAAAATTTTATTTGGGATATTTTTATATTGGGAGGCTGCCCATTAATATTTCACAAAATAACGGTTTTGCATTTTCATATCATAGAATATGGACGAGATAAGTCATGCTCAGCTTCAGTAATGAAATTTGAATTCTTGGCGTCAATTGGTTGTGTTTTAAGTTATTTCCTTTTTTAGAGCAAAAAATGTGAAAATTACACCAAAAATAGGGGTGTTACACATTTGACATCTTTCCATATTCTAAAAAGAATTTTTAAAAATATTTCTGTAAAGGTAAAAATTATAAAGGTCATCTAGAGGGTTTCATAAGGTAGTATTTACTTTTAAATTTCTTTCTTTTAGATTTGCAAGTTTTTACAACTTCTGTCCTAGACAGCATTCTGTAGAACTGTAGTGTGTCATTGTTCTTAGCCTCTACTGCCAAATGTTCAGATAGAAAACAAGAAGTGAGAGGATCCAGATGAGGTAGGTTCCACACTTAGGACAGGGCGCCCGCAGGCGCAGTGGCAGGGCCGCGCTATGTGAATCCTGGCGTATGTGATGCCCGTTTGTCCCGTCTCACCCTTTCTGCTCCATCAGTTTCCCCCAGTCATGGTGTGGTAGCAAGGACAAGAGTTGAACTAGGAGCAGGGGTGCCAAGGGCCAGAAACACATAACTTATTTTATGGGCGCAGTGCAGGGGCAAGTACTCCTGGTGAACCTTGCCAGTTAGCCTACCAAATAGGCATAGGTTTGACCTGATTTCTTTACTAGAACACATGGGTGACAGCTGTCAGCCCAGAAGTGACATGGTCATGGCTTGGGCTTCCCATCCCTTTGGCTTTCCTTTTAATAAGTAATATTCACTTGTTCTATCATATTTTCTATTTTTCTGTCTATCTTACAAGCTACTTAGTGACTATATTTACTACATCTTCAGAATTCTGCCTGTGTCTCCAAAGCTGCTTCATTGTTTATTATCTATAGTTAATACAGCTGGTGAGTTTTGCCCATATTTCAGAAGCTACTAACCAGTCTCCTCTTAGTAGAATTGACTATATTCAAATAGAGCAAATGCACTTTACATAAATATTGAGATGCCAGTAGTCTCTGGTAGTATAAAGTCCACTCTCGTGGTTTTTAAGTTTATTTTACTTCCCATCCCTTTAATAAATAGTAAGAAATACAAAATCTTGACTCTCCTCTTGGTTTAATTCAGGATGTGGCTACCTTAGAGCCTCTCCACTCACACTGCTGAGCTGGGAAAGGAGCGAGGGTTCAGAAGAGCCCTGGCAAGGAGCTCAGACTCTGCTGGTGGACACTATTCAAAACTTTAAGATACCGTGAGAGGGAGGGTTATTTTCTAATTGCCTATTTGCAGAATACACATAAGAGTTTAATCTGTGAAGGTCATGAGAATTGTTAGAATGCACCAAGAGAAACAAAATTCAGAAATAGCTATCTGGAACCTTATAAAAAAATTTTTATTGCCCTGGAAATAGCTGTCATGACACTATTTTAAAAAACAATTAATTGAAATTTCAAAGCCTTGCAATTAATCATGTATATTTACCATTGTGAAATGGCATGCATTAAAACATTTTGCTCAAAACTGTAATTTTTTTTTTTACAGAGTAAGAATATGTTTATTCTGACTGAATTATATTGTATAAAAAACAATTCTTCTAGGAGACTTTGTCCCCTCCCCCAAGTATTGTTCTTAATTTGTCATCTTTTCCATACATGTTACCAAGGGGGTCATAGTAGGTAGATGTGTAATATTTATAATTTATAACGTCAAAAACTTGTATGTTTTTAGTCCTCTGCTACATCTCTCCCACCTAAACTAGGGCTTGGCACATAGTAGGTGTAATAGTTAGGATCTGTATTAAGCTGTTAGAACAAAGAGTCAAAGGATAAAACTCACAGAAGATTGTCTTTCACTTACGAACGTCCAGGGTGAGTAGGTGGCTTTGCTCAGGGGCCCAGTTCCTTCTTTGTTGTCACTGTCATCTGTAGGGTGCTGTCCTAGTCCCCGGGGTCCATATTGACCCACACATCCTGTCTCAGTGTCTGCTCTTCTGTGGGAAGAGTGGGAGAGAAAGGAAGTGAAGGGCAAAACATTTCTCCTATAAACCTGATCTGGATGTTTCATACATAACCTCTGTTTGCCGCCCATTGGCCAAAGCTGAGCCTCATGGACATATCAGCCATGAGGAAAATTTAGAATTACAGTCTCTTGCGAGACAGTGTGTCACTGGCTAAAACTCACGTAGTTCCTTTGAGAAGTGCAAAAATAAGAGAAGTCTGGGAGTTAATAGTAGGGGCTACTAAGTAAAAAGTTCAGAAAAATTTAGAAAATTGGTCCACATTTAAAAATGAAAAACATTTAATATTTATTAAAATACTTGAAGGAGCAGGTGGTAGAGTTGAAAGGTCAGAGACCTGGGTTTGACACTGTCAATAACTAGCTGAAACTCTGTTCACATTCCAGGTAAAATTGGCACAATTTCTTTTAATCGCATAATTAAAATGAACAGATTTGGTCTTTCTTGAACTTTTGAAATACGTATTATTCTGCCATTTTCAACAGTAATTAGTATTAGAAATAAGTTTTAAATTCTTATTAAAATTTGTGTGTTACAGAAAATAAGTATTTGGTTGCAAATATTTTGAGGCCTCTTTGTGTTTATAATTTCACATTTCCAGTGATTTTCAAGCCTAAATGTGTTTACATTCTATCATAGATGGGAGCATTTTAGAACAAACTCTGAAAATGGGACCAGTTTTTTTCAGTAGCATTATACTTTATGTTCTCTCTCTCTCCAGCCTAATGTTGACCTGTCAGTTGCATTGTTTATAATATTGGAAGTAAAATTGAATAGGTACCTACAACAGGATCAGGGATACACATTGAAGTATATCTTTTCAGTTCTCATTGTAAAAACATATCTCAACTTTCTCAGAATTGTAATGGTGAATACAAAATTCTTTTTTGATAAGTTTTTGAGGTTAGCTTACCACGAATACCGTGGCCCTGTAGAGTAGCTTCTGATTATACTAAACTGTTGGTTGTTATCACATTCTTGGTGGTAGCCAACCAAACAGTTCTCACACCCTCTTCCTAAGACAGACCAGGTGTTTAATTACATGCCAGATGAAATAACAGAGTTAAAACTGAAAACATTTAAATTTGCTTTTCGTAGGACATGTCAGCTCAAGGATCATCTTCACAGCTTCCCAAACCCTTTGATCCTGAGCCAGAAGCGAAGTATGGCACACTGGATGTGACTTTTGACTATGACTCACAAGGACAGAAGCTCCTGGTAACCGTGACAGCTGTCACAGATATCCCAACATATAACAGGACAGGTGGCAACTCATGGCAAGTACACCTTGTTCTTCTACCTATAAAGAAACAGAGAGCAAAAACCAGCATCCAGAGAGGACCATGCCCTGTCTTCACAGAAACATTCAAATTTAACCATGTTGAATCTGAGATGATTGGAAATTATGCAGTTCGATTTAGACTGTATGGTGTACATCGCATGAAAAAAGAAAAGATGGTGGGGGAAAAGATTTTTTATTTAACAAAATTGAATCTTCAAGGGAAAATGTCATTACCTGTGATATTGGAACCTTCTTACAATCATTCTGTGAGTATCTGATCAAATAGCCCAAATACAGTTTAAGTTCAAGGTCTGTGATATGCACAATTTTAATCCGATAAGCCCAAATAACCATACCTTTACAAAATTTCTAAGCCCTGAATAGGTAGGTATAATTTTTTTCTCATCTATAAGTTGCCCTTGAAGATTATATATGATTTATCTTATGTATTTTATCCTTCTCAGGGTCTAGCCCAGTTGTCTTAAACATTTATTAGATGGTTGATTATGACATCATCTGAACTCCTTATAGAATACATTGTTTTCTTTCCAGGTTAAAACTGTGTGATGCATTAAGAACGATCTAGCTCCATATGTTTGATATTATTTGCTCGTATAGAATATGTGCTGCTGCGTAGGTCAGGACTGATTATAATTCCAGAACTGCTATGAAATAATTTTTAAAACTTCAAAAGCATGACCTCATTATATTTTCCACCTTTTTATACAAAGATTTTTGTAGTGTTTCTGGAAGAATACTTAAATTTAGTACCATCATTTGTTCTCCCTTTTCTCTGTTTTCCTCCAGGTTCTGATCACATATAAGTCTCTCTCTCTTCTCATATTTTTAAACTAAATTCCTACAAGCCATTGCAGATCACCAGAGAGTTGCACTGTTTACTTAAACCAGGGAGATGCATTATGCCACACTGTTACTTTGATTATGAGAAAATCTGTGATGTGCTATAAATTAAATTATGATATTTGCTCATCTGTTATACTGAACTTTTTGTAATATAAATACACAGATTTCAGAAGAGATACATTATTTTAAAATATAATATTTTAGGGTTGTTGTTAAGCTTTGAAAAGTGTAAGCATAAGTCCAAGATTAGAGTCTCATTGAATTTGTACAATGCAGCTTTTGATCATATCGGAATATCATTCACAGTAGAACCCCATACCATTTTACCTACTGGCCACTCAGACCAAATAATGTGATTTTTAAATGTTTTCATTAAGAGTGGCAGAATATTTAATTGGCCTTCACTTTTTTCTCTCTTCTAATAAATTCCTGATTTAATTTTTTAAAGGCATTTTCTGAATTATCAATTCTGAAATTTAAAATTATAACAAATTATCAATTTCCCTACTAAAGACTTAAGTGTTATCCTACGAACCCATAGGGATATACTATGTTGTCACCTTTTGGTTTTTAAATGTTGGAAGTGTTTGTGGCAAATAACTAACTTCTTTAGTTACATAGGTTCATAAATAGGAAGAAGTTGTGCTAATAGATTACATCAGGAGCTGTAATTTGGATAAGATTTTGGACTTTGAGATGATGAGATTTAGATTCAAGAATAGGGACTTATTACTTTGAACTGATAATGTAATAGGATGAGACTTTTGGGAACCTTGTACTGGGGGAATACATTTTCCAAGTGGGATATATTTGAATCATGGAGGCCAGAAGGCAGACTGTGGTAGGCATAATTCTAAGATGGTCCTCATGACCTTCATTCCCTGGTATTACTCCTATGATTATGTTATGTAACATGGCAAAGGGATTTTGAAGATGTAATTAAAGTTATTAATTAGTTGACATTAAGATAATGTATTATCTGGGTGTGCCTAACTCAATTACTTGAACCCTTGAAAAGCAAAGTTTTCTATGATTTGTAGCAGATAAAATAGATTTAAAGCATTAGTGAGATTCAACACGAAGTTCTCCGTTGCTGAGACGGAGTGGTTCATGGTAGAAGGACCGTGGAGCAGCCTCTAGCCAACCACCAGCAAGAATGTAGGGACCTCAGTTCTACAACTGCAAGGAACTGAATGAACTTGGAAGAATATTCTGCCCCCGGAGCCTCCAGATAAGACCCCAGCTGAGCCAACACCTCGATCAAAGCCTTGTGAGACCCTTTACAGAGAACCCAGTTGAACCCACCCAGACTCCGACCTACAGAAACAGTGAGATAATAAGTGGACATTTTTAAACCTACAGTTTGAAGTAACTTATTAGACCTCAGTAGAAAATTAACACAGCCCACAGGGTTTCGCTCTTTACAGAAAACTTTTGCTGACCTCTGCTCTAGACAACTAGGAATTGAAATTGAGTATCAGATGTGCAAATCACTTCTTTGGGTGAGGTGAATACTCAGATAACATTCTTAAAGTCTTTCATTTTGGTGGGATGTTCTTTACCAATTCATGAAGTCTCCAGCAAATACCTTTATATAATGATAAACATATCTAAATAAAATCTGCAGGTATTCTTTTTCTACACGGTTGCTCCCTCCACATAGATGCAGTCACTTAGAGAAACATTATTTATTTAGAAAATAATTTCCGTGAGCAAAAATATTTTATTCAGTTTTATTTCATTTTCTTCTATTAAATTTATAGAAAGTAAAATAGATTTTTAAAATAAAAAGATATAGTTTTATCCCATATTTTAATGAAAATATTTCTATTCCTATTTCTGTTTTGGACATACTCATAGAATGATGTCTGCAAAATGTTTACTTAATAACAATTTATGAATAGTAAAGTTTAAGGTGATTTTTTTTACTTTTATCTTTGTTATTTCTGTATTATTTGATAATCATTTGTCAGTTTAAAGAAAACTACTAGATTTTAATAAATGTATTAGGATACAAAATTAACACCCAGAAATCTATGGCTTTTTTATACACCAATAATGAATTCACAAAAAGAGAAATGAAAAAACCAATCCCATTTACCATTGCACCAAAAAAATAGATACCTAGGAACAAACTTAACTAAGGAAGTAAAAGACCTGTACTCGGAAAACTACAGAACATAGGAAAAAAGAGATCAAGGAAGACAAACGAATGGAAGAATATATTTCGTGGATTGGTAGACTCAACATCATTAAAATGTCCATACTACCCAAAGCAATCTATAGATTCAATGCAATCCCCATTAAAATACTAAGGGCATATTTCACAGACCTAGAACAAACTCTCCAAAAATTCATATGGAATAAAAAAGATCCCGAATAGCCACAGCAATCCTGAGAAAGAACAAAATTGGAGGGATCACAATACCAGATATCAAGCTATATTACAAAGCCACTGTTCTCAAAACTGCCTGGTACTGGCACAAGAACAGACATATAGACCAATGCAACAGAACAGAGAACCCAGAAATAGACCCAAGCCATTTGTTCAATTAATATTTGACAAAGGAGGCAAAACATTCAATGAAACCAAGACAGTCTCTTCAACAAATGGTATTGGGAAAATTGGACAGATACATACAAAAAAAGGAAACTAGAACACCAACTTACACCATACACAAAAATAAACTCAAAATGGATAAAGGACTTAAACATAAGGGGAAAACCATAAAAATCTTAGAAGAATCCATAGGCAGCAAAATATCAGACATATGTCGTAGCAATATCTTTACTGATACAGTTCCTAGGGCAATGGAAACTAAAGAGAAAATAAACAAATGGGACTACATCAAAATAAAAAGCTTCTGCACTGCAAAAGAAACCATCAACAACAAAACAAGATGGCCCACTGCATGGGAGAACATACTTGCCAATGTTATCTCCAATAGGGGCCTATTCTCCAAAATTTACAGGGAACTCATACATCTTAACAAAAGATAAACAATCCAATCAAAAAATGGGCAAAGGACCTAAGTAGACACTTTTCGAAAGAGGACATACAGAAGGCCAAAGAGACATATGAAAACATGCTCAAAGTCACTAATCATCCAAGAGATGCAAATCAAAATGACAATGAGGTACCATCTCACACCTGTCAGAATGGCTATAATCAACAAATGACAAGTGCTGGAGAGGCTGTGGAGAAAAAAGAACCCTCGTGCACTGCTGGTGGGAATGCAGACCAGTGCAGCCACTGTGGAGAACAGTATGGAGTTTCCTCAGAAAATTAAAAATGGAGCTCCCATTTCACTCAGTAATCCCACTTCTAGGAATATATCCCAAGAAATCAGAAACACCAATCAGGAAGGATGCACCCTATGTTCATAGCAGCACAATTTACAATAGCCAAAATTTGTAAACAGCCTAAGTGCCCATCAGCAGATGAGTGGATTAGAAAACTGTGGTACATCTACACGATGGAATACTACGCTGCTATAAAAAAGAAGGTACTCTTACCATTTGCAACAGCATGGATGAATATGGAGAGCATTATGCTAAGCGAAATAACCAGGCAGAGAAAGATAAATATCACATGATCTCACTCATTTGTGGAATATAATGAACATCATAAACTGATGAACAAAAATATATCTAGAGACATAGAACAGACTGTCCAACTTAAGAGGGAAGGCAGGGGGAGGGGGACTAAGAGATCAACCAAAGGACTTGTATGCATGCATAT